GCTTAGATATTCTTTAAGATTGATTAGAAATTAAACCACCAACCGATTCAAATGGAGCCAATGAATGTGCACAAGATTACATTTCGAACTCCTTGGGGTCACCATGAATTCTTGATTAAATGGAAAAGATGGTCATATAATAACGCTAGGTGGAAGTTTCCTGACTTGATTAAGCAACTATCTAATGTTTTCCCACCTTGAGGACAAGGTGTCTTTTGGGAGGGGATCACTATTACGTCTATGCTTAGTTTAAGGGTAATTTCGTTTTTTGTATGCCTAAGGGAAATTTAGTCTTTTATTATTATTATTGTTAGGTATAAATAGGATTATTATGTTAAGGGTTAGGTTTATGCATGAGATTGAGTTGTGAGTCTTTAGGTCTAAGCTTTGGGAGAGATCTCCTACCTCTTGAATTATAGGAATTGTGATAGATCACCTACCTCTCGAACATAGGCACTTATCTTTTGTATTTGTGTGGGTTGTTTGGATTATTGAATAAATATTGTGTTTGCCCTAATTTCTATAAAAATCCAAGTCGATTTTAACGTTGGATCGTATCGGTGCTCTTGGGTTTTTTTTTGTTTTGCTCTATTGCTTCTTGATGTATATCACATCTCATTTAGGCTTAAGTCTATGCCCATTGCATTTTAAAACATGCTAGATTCAAAATTATTCATGGTCAGTGCTAGAATTTTATTAGCATGCCAAAACGAAAGAAAAAAGATTAGAGAGAGAATCTAGAATGAAAAGTCATGGGGTTTCATTAGGATGTTTGGAGCATAAAAGGATTTCTCTCTTGTCCTCTGACCATTTATATACATGTTAGATCAGAGTTAAGTATTATAAGAAAAGCTACATTTTGGGTTATATAAATAAGAAAAATACATGACAAGATTTAATAGTTACTTGATGTTAAAGTATATAAGACATGAAGCTTAGTTACATGAGAGTAATTAGCCATTGAATGAAGCCTTCAATGAATGAGGTTACTTGCTTATTGGTTGAAGTCATCCATCCATTAGATGAAGTCACCAATTTAGTTGTAAAAGCTGCCTACTTAAGTCTTGGCTTGTGTATATTTTGACGAGTTCACTATGGTCTTGGCAAGTTTGAAATGTTTTGACGAGTTCATGATGGTCCTAGGAAGTACTTGATAGTTTTGATGAGTGACTCAACTGAGTTACGTGAGCCGAATTAAATCCTAGAGCTGACTTGCACAACTTGTCCTTACAAGCTCACTTCTATAATTAACAGCCTTGACATAGATGCTAAGTTCTTAGGATATTTAGATGTTCACTAAGCTAGACCAAAATGATGTCGATTCACCCAACTTGATTGCTCATAGTAATATCCAGATGAAGGCTTAGTTGACAAAATCAAATATAAGTTGATTTATTGAGAAATGAGGATTTCATAATAAAATGATGATGACTTAAAGATGTAGTTAATTAGAGTTTCTTCTTAAAGATATGGTGACTACAACAATTTGAAACTAGCATGATACACACCCAAATATCTTTTAGCTTCAATAGCATGAACTGCCCAACTTTACATATATGCAATCAATTTAGTCAAGTAGCTATGAACTTGACCTAACGTACTAGCCAAAATCATAGTGAACTCGTTAAGTTAATAGTGAACTCATTGGACTCATGGTAAACTCGCTTAACTCAAGCTGAGCTTTCCAAGCCAAACAAGTTTAAGCATAGTAGCTCAAGATCAAGAACAACTCATCAAATTTGGTGACTTTAAATAGAGACTTCCCCTCAAGTTGACTATAAGTTCGAGAAAATAATCTGGCTATATATAACACCTCTTAAATTTAAGAACGGTTACATAAATGGAAAGCGGGGCAGAGCAACAGTCAAAGCCGGAGAGCAGGCGTCAAAATGGGAGATCAAATCAAGGAGGATGATGCGATGACATGAAGGGGAGGGGGTTATTCATTGTTATAAGAGTGTGTGGGTGGGGGGGGGGGGGAAGATGCCCCGCGGTTTGGTACGGGGGTACCTATACCTACTATTTCAAATAAAGTTGAAACCATAAGCATCGCATATGCATGGGTCTTGCTCCAATCTCAGACAAGGATGACATATGCTAGGGAGAGAGGGTCATCGAGATTCAACAACACGAGCATATGAAATCTAGAGCAACATTGCTTGTGAATGGAGACTGCATCGTGTTTTATTGTGGACGATGCGAACTCTTGTGTAGGGGAGACGAGTGAGAGAGTTCTTGCGTAAAGGAACATCGGAGTAGGAGGTTTAATGTGCCGGATCAAACTACAAATTGTGTTTGTTTCAATGTGGATGACCGTAGAAGATTACCAATAAGTATTTAAGATGCAAGTAATATTTAAAGTTAGATTTATCTTTAGCATTTTTGGGATGAAGAAGAAAGTTATCATCCATGTACTAGAAGATTTAAAGGTGAGATTTAAATGATTTAAGGCTAGTATTTATTTAATTTTAGTTTTCTTAATTGTACAAATAAAGTAAAGTTAACCCAACATTTTATTTGTGGACGTTAGATATTTTTGATATTAATAATAATAATATTTTAAGAAATAGATAACTTAAAAATAAAATATTATTTTATATATGCTAGTAGGATAAGATATAAAGTGCAACTTATATAATTTTTAACATTGTAACATCAAATCTAATAATTTTTTAAGAATATTATCCATTTGATGATTCAAAACATAATGATAAATTTGATCAAGCAAAGGTTACTTGATTTGAACAAAGAAAATCAAATTATTAGGAAATAGTTTAATTTAGATAACTAAAAGTTGTTATGTTAAAGAAAAATAAAATAAATTAAAAAAATGTTAAAGTTAAAATGATGTTATACATTCAATAAGAATAATTAAAGAAGATTTACATATTAAATTGATGGCAAATTATTGTAAAGATTGAATTTCTGTTTAGTTAATATTAAATAAGGTTACAAGATAAAGATAATTTTAATATTATCTTGAAAAAAAATCAATAATCCAATTCAATTGTCTAACTAAATGATAAATGCTGATTAGGCTCTAAGTATATACTTGGTGAAAAAAAGGAGTTAAATAAGCTTATGTATATTAATAAAAGAAAAATGATATTTAATAATATAATTAAATAAAAGTAACTAATATTAACATTTTCTATGTACAATTAGAAACTCATTTGGAGGAAGTTAAAGCAGAAGGGAAAAATTATTCATCAAGAGTTGAGGTGACGTACACTTACTTTTAAATTATCGTAATAATATTTTGTTTCTTCTAAAACACTTGTGTTAGAATGACATTTTTTAGATATGTTGATATTGTGAATATGATATGATTCTTCTATTCTACTAGTTAAATTTACATGTAAAAATAAATATCATAGATTCACATACTTATATTTATTTAAATTGATTATAATAAAAAGATCTAAAATGATATGCATAATACAAATAAAATAATCTATATAATATACTTGTATATGTTGAATCTAATGGAGTTCACCCTATTATGATACTAACTAGAGACATTAATGTACCCGTGTACGTAAATTATAAAAGGATATATTGATATTGATGCATCTTAATTGATACAACTTAAACAATACTCATATGACGGATGCAAACTGACTAAATAAAGATAAGTTATTATTATCGTATCATTAAATATTCCAAATTTTTGTTGAATAATAAAATGTCACTTCTTCTTAACACTAATTCAATTTTTTTAACAATAATGCAAATTGTCTTTTTTATTATGCTATTATAATTTATAAATATGAGTATTCAATGGCTGTTGATAGCTCACTATAATTTAAAATTAATATTTCTAGGTTGAAATGTTGGAGTAGAAATGATCATATAAGAGAAAAATGTATATAGAAGACGGGGTGAACATAGAGGAAGGTAAGTTTATAATTTTATTCATTTAATTTTTTTACTTAGCGCCTCTTTTAATATTTTAGATGATTAATTTTTAGTCATATAAATAAATCTAAACTTGTTCTTTTATAATCCGATAGAGGAAGGTAAGTTTATAATTTTATTCATTTAATTTTTTTACTTAGCGCCTCTTTTAATATTTTAGATGATTAATTTTTAGTCATATAAATAAATCTAAACTTGTTCTTTTATAATCCGATTGTCTGTTCCCGCCTTAGAAATTTCAAATTCCCGAGCCGGTCATGACATTATATTTCTCATGTATTTTATAGTGAGCAATCTATAGGTATTTGTATATATTTTTCTTATGCTTATAACTTTTAACTGATAGCTTTTCCTTGTAGTGTTCAAATCTTGATCCAAATCTATAAATAAGGGATCACGAGAAGAGCTCAGTATTATGCAATTACACAACATTAAGCAATCCATGTAATCAATCAATTGTAGTAAATTTCAAAGATTCTTATTCTAAAATCCCCCTTTTTCTCTCTTTTATACTCTTTTTCCCTTTTTTATTGAGTTCTAGTAAGACTTTGGTCTAAGCCAAAGACAATTTAGGATCCACAGATAGCATTAAGTTGTCAAAATAATCAATAAATCTATCAAATGCATATTCCATCATTTAACATATAGAAATTACAAATTTGAAAATAGAAGTTGATTGTAGTCAACAAAAGATGTTGCACTTAAAATATATCATAACCTCTTTTTGAGAGAAAAAATATATCATGCATCAACTCCAAATTATATCAAATTAATTTGGAGCAAGTCATTTTTAAATCAAAGCATATCAATTTTAATTTTGAGTTGACTAAAATTCTAGTGAGTTTATAATTATGGAGATAATAATCAACCGACATTATTGGAATGCATCATGCTTTGTTAGAAGTTTCCATCTTATATGTTTGAATGCTAAAATCAACTATGTAGTAGAAGAAAATTCTATTAATGAACCAACATTCAATTAATAGTCAAAAACTGGATTTGTCAAACTGTATTCGATCAATATTACACGTTTATCACTTGCAACGGTAATATTTGTGAACTTTCTTTCAGTGTTCTGGCAATGGATAAAACAACACTTATTCAATTACTTCAATAAAATGTTCATAAAGATCCACTAAATTATAATTTGGAACTGCAAAACAAGTGGGACTGAGCAAACATGTTGTATACTCGACTTCACTCTTTATTTGTTCCTTAGTGACACTTGCGTCAAAGCTCATCCTGAAATGATGAGAGAAAAAAAGAAGGACTGGAGTTAGCAAGACGATTAAATGCACAACAATTAGATTATTAATTCATAAGGAAATGTTTTACTACATGTTTGCCTTCATCCTCTTCTTTTAATTTTGCTTCCCAGTCAGGCTCTTCAGTATCTAGTTCTTCATCATCATCATCATCTTCATTCTATCAGCAAAGTTTTCATGTTTTCTTAATTAATTTATACAATTAGCTTTGGCAAAGTTATAGATTATCTTTGAAAACATACCACTGGAGTTCCAAGTTGTTTGTTTTCCTGTAGAGGAAGAACAAAATGATATTATAAAAGTATGTAAAGTATTATGTGATTCAATATGTTTTAACACTAGTTAAGAGATTAATGAAATTCTAGTACATATAATTATTTATGGACACTATGGATATATAAGAATTTTTCAAGAAAGTGATAATAACACTATCAGGATTGAAATAGCTATGTTAATAAAACTATTGAGGTGAATTTATAATTTTGAGTCCATATTGTATATTTTTAATCAACGTTCAATTATAAATATTATCATAATGAATGCTTAAGGTGTCTGGCATCAATAAATGAAAAAGATAGAGAAAATAAAATGAATGAATTTATGGGGTTTGCACCTCCTCTTTTCTTAGTTTTTCTGCTTCATCAAATGCAACTTTCTCTGCCTGGGAAAGAACAAACATAATAAGCGAATATATCAGTATTAAAGATATAAAGTGTGCACTAAAAGAAAAGCATGAACTCCAAAATGGGAAGCTATATACATATTTGATCTCGCCCCATGTTTCTTCTGCAACCTTTTTTGCATACTCAGGATCATCACAAATCAAAATGTTATCAAATAATGTCCCCGCTCTTACCTATCATGATGTACGTTAGTTAAAAAAACAAAACATTATACTTCAAAACCATTAAATTGCGACTTGGCTTACTTGCCACAACTCAATTCCCACATATCTCAGGTTAGGATAAACATAGATATTTGGATCAGCTACAAATTCTGCATATAATATCAAATTAGTCTCCATCAAGGATTTCAGGCTAAACTATTTTTGTTGTTTCAGCAAACAAACCAGGATTGTCAATTATAGGCGCCTTCCATTTTCCTTTGTAATTAGGATTCTTGATTTTCTGTCAGTAAAGCATTTGAAACAGATGGCATTACTGTCTAAACACTGTATTTAAGCATTAAACTTAGAAGCTCTGTTGTGTTCGAAACCTTTGGTTTCCATGGTCCTTTATATTCAGGATTTGGGATCATGGGTGCTTTCCACTCTCCCTTCTCTTCAGTATTCCAATCCTCTGGCTGCAAAAGATGGTTGAATTGGGCATGTTTTTTTATTGCAATTGGGCAAAAAGTTTAGAAGAGGATTATTTTCATTTTTACCTTTCTGGCATTCTGGTCAGGAATCTCTTCTAGAATGTTATCATAACCCTTGAAAACAAATTGCACGTCATTTATCGAAGAATTATCTTTTTTTATTCATATATTAACAGAAAAATGGTGTATGTCCAATTTATATTCAAAATGAAATGTCAATGTCACTAGAAATAAAATACCTCCGGTTTGCTATCGTTGGCATCGAGTATGAACTCTTTATCTTCCCAGTCATCAGGCTATATACATCGCCAACAACAAATGATTATTTATAAATCTGAACTACCAAAAGCCTCTCAAACTAAGTTTTAAGATCAGTTTATCAACATATATAATGCACCTTTTTGGCGTCAGGATCCCTAATCTGCTTTGGGGGAAGAATATCCCAATCTTCATAAATACTCCCAGATTCCTTTTGTTCATTATCAATAAGGATGTTATATGTAGCATCTGGTTTAATTATCAAGGTGTACAGATGAGTGAGTTGGTCATGAGGATATGAAATCTCCTTTTTTATCTTATTATTCTTCCCATTTCGTGAGAGAATAACATGAACTCTTTTGTTGATTTCTCCACAGATGTCTGGCCCAAACATTATACTGCAAAAATTCATATGATTTTTTAATACATCATCAAAGTTTTGAAACCAAGCATCAAGCCATGTTAATTAGAGACATGAAAAGGAATAATATAGCTATAACCTGTAAGGGGTGTCACTACTAAACATTTGTTGGTTAATTGTACCATTAATGAGCTTCATGTAGCCACCACCACAGTTCAATTTCTGCTCATGTTTGACTGAGAATTGAAAAACTAGTGTTTTGTCCTTGTTGCTGAACTCTGGAAACTCAGCTGAAATGGCATAGTACCTGTAGTCTTGAGTAGTTTGGATACCTGAAGTGGTAGATGGAGTATTAGAACAACAGTATGAAAATTATCAATCTGATTTTATCAACTTTTAATAGCTTGGCTTGCAAACCTTTGTCTTGAGGATCTCCATTCCATTTACCAGCAGTGTGGTTCCATTCCCCTGACATGTTATCACTCTTTTTCCAATCTGATTTTATCCAGCGATCCTCCCATCCATCTTCATTTCGTATCATAACCAACATATTGTTTAATCACAATAGTAAATATTTGGGACAGAAAATCAGCCATATACTTTTAATAATATGTTAGCTAGTATTAAAATTCCTCTGAAATTCGACAGTATTGTCTTTTTTTAAAGAAGATTTACAAATATACCAGTCAAATCCAATGTTTTTACATGTCTACCCCCTTAAACTTCAATTTTTATATACGTACAACCTTTTGCATGAAAATGTGTAATTCATTTTTTTTTTTTTTGGAAGTTAAAATGATGCTATTTCTTATGCAATATAAAAGATTCGAGTGGTATAAATGTAAAAGCAAAGTTTAGGTGTTAGATATGTAAATGCATAGGAATTGGGTGGTATGTATGTAAGTATACCTTTCTTGATAACAAGAAAAATGATCAAAAGTCTGTTTTTTGTTCTGTTGTGCTGGTGGATTGATTGTAAAAAAATACGAATAATATCTTCATCTTTATCATATCAGGATTAAACTTTACAAATATATATATATATATATTAAACCCAAAAAGAATGCATAAATATTATGAAAAAAAAAATTGCTTGGGAAACATGATATAGAATTTGATTTCATTTTGTTGGCAACAGATTTTGAGAATTTGAATTGCAATGCTTGTATTAGTCCACTAACATTACTCTAAACTCCAGTAGTTATTCTTCATTAAAACTTGAATCTTTAAATTCTACTGCTAAGATTTATTTTGAGATATATTTTGCGCATCACAATCATAAAATATTCTCACAAATAGGGCTGTCAGAACGGCTCGTTGTTCGTGAACGGCTCGTGTTTGGCTCGTTAAGAAGCTCGTGTTCGGTTCATTCGCAATGTTAACGAGCCGAACACTAACAACACAGACAAAGATTTGTTCGTTCGTGTTCCGCTCATTTTGGCTCAAAAAACTACTAATCAATTATAAGTATTAGCTAAGAAAATAGAATAAAAATTATTAAATTAGATTTAAATGATGTTTTGTTATAAATAATAATTTTTAAATTTTGCCCCAATTCTTAATATTTTATGGCTACCTGAACGGCTCTTTGTTCGTGAATGGCTCGTGTTCGGCTCGTTAAGCAAAAAGAGTCAAACACAAACACACTTTCTAAGCTTGAAATATAAACAAGCCAAACACGCGATTACACCCCTACTCACAAATTGAAATAAAAAAAAACAATTACACCCCTACTCACAAATTGAAATAAAAAAAAAAACCCTTGAGAGATATAGGAATCTATATGTCACCATCAAATCTCTCCTCGAAGTAGACCTCTGCAGTGACGAAGAGGAACATAGGCATGAGAATGACAATGGTGATTACTGAGAGCTTCTTCAGGCTGCCCATGGCTGAAGCACATAAAGATGAAACTGCAGCTTCGTGCTAGCGTAGGCAGCTGAGCAGAAATAACGAAATAGTTAATATATATATAAATCTCTGTTACAGAGTTTCTCTGTTGTTGCAAGGAAGCTTCTGGCACGAATGCTGCAGCGGATCCGAAGGGTGTATTGAGCACACGAGGGAAGAATACATAGCACACAATTTTATGTTTTTACACGTCTGACATCTGAACTTTAATATTTATATTCATAACACACTCAAATCTTTAACATCAAATAGAAATATTCACGTTAACAAACTTTTAATACTCAAAAGCTTCTTTTTATCCATAGGTTATATAGCTTCGAGATGTTATAAATGTGAATATCAAATTTTTGGTGTTACATGTGTAAATTCATTAGAGTTCTGGAGAAATATATGAGTACGTAAGACGTACGTAGAGCTGTGTATGTCTGATAGATTATAGGGAGGGTATTAGTGGTCATATCTGCATTATACCTCCTGTAACTTCCCTGTAACCTATCTGCAACCTATCTGTAACTAGTAAGTTTCGCGCTTTTGTTTTCATATATGTCTAAGTTATAGGTAGGTTACAGGTAGGGTATTAGTGGTTATATCTGCGTTATACCCCCTGTAACTTCCTTGTAACCTATCTGCAACCTATTTGTAACTAGTAAGTTTCGCGCTTTTATTTTCATATATGTCTAAGTTATAGGTAGGTTACAGGGATGTTACAGGGGACATAACGAAGATATAACCCTCAATACCCTTCCTGTAATCTACCTGACGTATGCAGCGCTGCGTACGTCTTCGTACACAAATATTTCTCAGAATTTTGTGGCATGCATGTATTATTCCCAAAAAAATTAAAAATGTATGGGATATTCTAATAAAAAATTATTAAAATACTAGACAGTTTAAATTTTTAATAAGATAGATCTTCATGATTTGAAATAAGAAAAACTATTTACATATGTAGTTTTTTTTTTTTTTTTTTTTGTAAAAGATAGATTACAAAAGTTTTAAAATTAGTTTAAACATGTAGTGGAAACAGAAAAAAATTGTGGAATAGTGGTAGCCTTTCATTTGTGTTGGTGGTTTCCTTCGCAAGAATTTGAAGGCGTACTGAGCAGATCTACCTTCAACTGCTCGCTCTGCCTGTGAGATTAGTGTTGCATAAGATCATCAAGAGCAATGTGGTGCAATGCCAATGCCCTTTTTCTTATTTCAATCGTCTTCCTCGTTTCCCTCGGTAGTGTTGGGCACGGAGCTGAGAATCCAATGGGCAGGCGAACCAGGAAGTTGCATGAAAAATAAGCATGCACGTTAGGACTTATTAGTGAAGTGTGTGTGTGTATCTCCATTTTTAAAATATGCAGTTGAAATTAGTGAATGACACCCACAAAATAGAGCATAAATAAGGAGATGGGGAGAGAGAGAGATCTTAGAATACATTATTTTCATATTAGCCCCCTTCATATTATAAATAATGCTCCTCTATTTATAGGAAAAGGTTTAGTATTAAATGCCAATTATACCTCTAGTCCTATGCAGTCGGGTGAGAAGGCCTTCTATAGGTGACCAACTCGAGAGGGCCAACTGGAGCTGCCTGGGGCTAACTGGAGTTAGATAGGCCAACTGGAGTTGGTCAGGACTGATTAGTGCTTGCCTACTTGGGTCGATTGGAACTGATCGGGGCCAAATAGATCTAGTCGGTTCTACTGGAGCTGATAAACTGGAGAGGGCTGACTGGTACTGGTCGTGTTGAATGGAGTTGGTTGGGTTCAACAGGTTCTTCAGACAATCTCAACGACTTAAACTATGAAAGAGAATTTCAGTTATACTTATTAGTTTACTGATTCTCTTATCTATTTGAAAGACAACTGCGAAAAGAATAAGAGAATGATTAATATGAAGCTAAAATTATTCGTCTTTATAAGGCCAGTGGATGATTTTCTACACATATAAGTTAAAAAACATTTTATGCAAAAAAATGGGTTGTGTATCTTTGTGTGACTTTTCATCTATTTGGGAGCTCTTAGCTATCCTACAGGATTTCATCTTAGGGTATTTCGATTTACCTTCAAGGAGTAGTCTCATAAATTGCCAACTCATCAATAATATAGTTGACTTGGCCTTATAAGGATGTTCTACAAGTGTTAACAGTAAAACGAGTCTCCTCATTTGTGCGACTAGATTGACTATTTTCTTTTAATACGACTCAGTTTTAAAAAAATTTGAGTAAGTTTATAAAATTTGTATTATCCTTCGTTTGGGACTGTAGCTCTCCTACGAGGTGTAGTAATCGTAATTTTTCAACTTTACCTAGGCCGAGATCTTGTGGTCTTCAAACCTAGGTTGACTGAATTCATTATTTATTTCATCGTGCTATATTTTAGAAAGAGCTTCTCCAAAGTCGTCATTAGCATTCAACTATTAAATTGAGTAGACTCAAAAAATATGTGCTATTTTTTCCTCAAGCTCTTTAGAAACTTGCTTATGAGAGGCAAGTTCCCCGAGTGCTATAGGTGAATTCACAATGAAGAAGTAAAAAAATAAATAAATGTGATAAAATAAAAATAAGAAGGGTCTCGATATCTTTTTCATGTAAAGATTTTCTTTATGCTCGCTTCATTTCTTCGTGACTTATCCTCTCTTGAATAAATTAATTTTCGGAAGATGTTTTTTAGAGGACTTTATTGGGGGAGTAATTTTTTTGTTCGACTAGAGCTGAACTGGTTGATTATAGTTGGTTGAGCCATCAGGAGTTGTGAGAGTCGACTAGAGCTGGTTGGGACAGCTAGAGCGGCCTAGGATGACTGGAGTTGGTAGGGATTATTGGAGATGGATAAGTTGATTGGAGAATGTTGGACTGACCGGAGCTGGTCGGGCTGAATGGAGCATGCCGAGCTGACTGGTGCTTGACAAGTCGACCGGAGCATGTCGGGATGACTTGAGCTTGTCGGGCCGCTAGAGTTGGTCGATTAGAAGAGTCCAAATGGACGAGTTTGATTATTCATTCGATTGATTTCTTTAATATTGCTAGCCATTTTTCTATAGTTTTGTTTTTCTCATTGTGCTATTTTTTTTCTTGTTTGTGATCCATGCTCACCACATTTTTAGGATATTGAATCCAAAAATATTAGTAAATCACACCCAACAAAATAAAACATAAATAAGGAAAGAGAGAGAGAGAGAGAGAGGGAGAGAGAGAGGGGGGAGAGAGAGAGAGAGAGAGAGAGAGAGAGAGAGTTCTTAGAATAGAATACAATATTTTCATATTAGATTCCCTCCACAATTATAAACAATGTCCTCTATTTATACTAGAAGATTTATTATAAAATGAAAATTATACCTTTAGTCATGTGTAGTCGATTGGAGATGGCAAGCTAGAGCTGGTCTAGGCTGATTGAAGCCTGTCGAGTCGGGTCGTTCGGAGCTTGCCTGGCTGGGCCAACTGGATCTTACCTAGTTGGGTCGACTAAAGCTGGCCTGAAAAATCAGAAATAATTGACTGGAGAGGGTTGACTAGAGAGGTTCTATTGAAGTTGACCGATTGAAGAGGGCTACTCGAAGTTGGCTTGGCTGATTGGAGCAAGATGGATAAATTGGAGCTTTACGGGTTGTATGTAATTGGTTGGGTTGACTAAAGCACACCAGTTGGACATGAGCATGCTGGGCCATCTGGAGCTTGTTGGGCCAATTATAGCTGGTCAATTAGAAGAGATTGAATGAAGGAGGTCGAATGGATATGTTTGACTATTCTCTTGAGTGAGTTCTCTAATGTTGCTAGTCACTACTTTATGGTTCGGTTCTTCTCCTTATACTACTTTTCTTATTGTTTGTTACATGATCCATACTCAATGCACCTATTAGGATGTTAGAATCCAAAGAGGTTTATGAATTACACCCAAAGAATGGAGTGTAAATAATGAAAGAGAGAGAGAGAGAGAGAGAGAGAGATTTCTTAAAAAATAGTATTTTCACATTAGCTACCGCCCCCCAACTATTTTCTTAAAATATAGTATTTTCACATTAGCTACCGCCCCCCAACTATTACAAACCATTATTTATAGGTGGACATTTATTATAAAATGACCCCTAGTCCCTATTAAGTTGGGTTAAGATGGCTAATTGGAGCTGGTTAGGGCCGATAGGAGCTTGTCTGACTGAGCCAGCTGGTGCTCTTCGGGGCTGATTGAAGCCACTAGGTTAATAAGAACTGGTCGGGCAGGGCCGATTAGAGTTGGATGACTGGAGAGGTCCGAGTGGATCTGACCAACTGAAGAGGGCTAACTAGAGCTGGTTAAGCCGATTTAAGCTTGGTCGAGTTCACTAGGTTCTTTGGACAATCTCAGTGCCTTAAGATATAAAGAAGAATTTCTATCATATAGAAAAAAAAATTTTTTTGAACCCAAAATCATTGAATTTTAATATCATTAGGTCATTAAGATGTTCAAAACATAAGTGTTCAATCCTTTTAGGGTATATGATATGTAAAGGCCCTATTTTAGTAGGAAGGTATAAGAAAGATGAGGCATGTGTTGCTAGAGCTCATATTTCTCATTCTATAATTTCTCAAAATTCCTGGGCGACCAAAAATTAACACAAAGAAAGAGTCTCTGCTTCCCGATTATGAGGGAGAGAGTGTGTATGTGTAATTTTTTATTATTATAGTAAGCTTAGTATGTGCTAGCCCTATTTATAGAGTGTTGTATTAAGCATAGGTTGTTGTAGAAAACATATGTTTACTTTCTTGCAATGTCTTTTTTTTCCTCTAAAGATTGGGTGTCTGTCCTACTTGGTCAACTGTTGGAATCCAAACATCTAAGGGAAGATGAATATAAAACAAAGGATTGACATAAATTAAACCAACAATGATAGTTGGATGTCATAATTGGTCGATGAGTCTAAAGTAGGTCTCGGGCTGATTACCCTTTTTGTTTTCTTGGTTATTTGTTTTTGTTTATTTGTGTTTATGCTCAATAGGTTCGCCCAAATTTCAGACCGTTACTTTTGTGTTTTCTTTTTTTTTGCCTGGACTATAGATCGACTTTTTTAGGACTAAATTTT